ATGAAACCCATACAAACTATGTTCTAAAGAATTAACTTTCACAAAAGCCACTCTTGAGGGGGAGACAAGAACCTTGTAGAAAAACTTAAAAAAATTAAACAAGATCATAGAAAAAGAAGAAGAAGAAGAAGAAAAAAAACAAAGAATCAAGAGGGAAAAAAAAAAAGAAAGAAAAGAGAGATGGTGGCAAAGGGAGGAGGGGAGCGGTAGCGAGGTTCTGGTTGTTTATAATGAATTTAATAAAACTACTCATTTCCTCCTAGGATGATAGTTATATTTTGATTTGAGATTTATTTTAGAATATTAGTCTTTTTTTAAATTTTAAAAGAGATAATTTTTTTTATTTTAATCTCATAATTATCTTTTAACTTTAATTACAATATATCCTGTTTAGAAAAAAAGTTTTATTTTTTTATTTCTTTTTTAAAAAGTAAAATTGTTATAGATCAAAATTGTTCTCAAATTCTTAATTTCAAAATAAAAATAAAATATATTTATTATTTTAGAATGAAAGGAGTAGTAAATAGGCCAATTTTGTCTTGGCGACTGTTTTTTTTTTCCCTATTAATTTCAAATTTGGGTTGAACAAAAAGAAATAAAATTCAAATTCTGCTATATATGGCTCCTATGCAGTTGTGATTATTTAGGTTTGCTCAGAATCGTTTTAGCCCCTTTTTTTAAAGTTTTTTTAATATATATTAATAACTACTATTATTATATTTAAAAATTAAAATTTATTATAAAAATTACTCCAAAAAATTTATTAAATTTAATTTAAATATAGTATTATTAATTACTATATATATAAAGAAAAAACCCAAACCATACTAAAGTAGCCTAACAAAGAGGTTTATTTCTCATTTTATTAGACAACATTTAATGTCTTGAAATAAAGAGATTAATGAAGAAACAATTTTTATAAATTTTTTAATTTTAATATAAATGATTTGCTCTAAAAAGAAAATTCTGGTAGGCTCATAAACTTACTAAGATAAGATTATGAATTAATCAACACTCATCTTTTTGGCCTTCAAAAAATTTAACACTGTTATTAGAAAGTCCAAATCTGCATCATTATCTCATGATAAAATTACTTGCCGTGTTAATGCATAACATAGCGACCAAACTTTTCAGCAATCCGTTATCCATTAATACGCATGGCGCGTGCAAGACACGCGAACTATTTACGACGGCTCCTTTGACTATTTTTCCCTTAATTTATGCGTACTGTTCAAGTTCAACTCCACTGTCTGAAACTGCGGTTTCCACTTTCCAGCCACGTGCAACAAATTATCAGACATAAAAACAAAAAGAAAATGCCACGTGCTATCTGTCGCCGAGATGACTCTTTCATAAAATGCTGCGAGCGTGCATGGTTTGACCCAAACTAGAGATATCCATGATTATTCAACAAGTCTTTTTAGACTGCTCAACAATATTAACGGTCAAACATATGCCCTCGTACGATTTTTCCTCTGGTGACTTCCTCTATATAAGCGTACCATTTTATAATCATCAGAAGAAGGTAGAGCAAAGCAAAAGAAAATATTTCGTCAGTATTTAGCTAAAGTCTATATCTCAATCTCATCATGTCAGGAGGTGGCAGAACCAAGCCCGTGAAGGTGGTGATCATTAATACCAAGTATGTGGAGACGGATGCCACAAGCTTCAAATCAGTGGTGCAGAGTTTGACCGGAAAAGATTCCAAGGTAGAGGCTGACTGTGATTCTTCACCAGGTTATGGAGATCGTCGACAATTGAAAAGTCGGTCTGCGGAGATGATTGAAAAGTCGGGAAAGGATTGGCTTTTGATGAGGGATTTATCGTTCAAGGAGTTCGACAGATTGCTCAAGGAAATGCCGACGGTGGATGAATTGTGTGGGTTTTTGGATTGATGTTTCTTCCAAATTATATAGATACAAGCTTTTTATTTTATTTTAATTTTTTTGATGGGCACGCTTTTATTTAATAAATTGTTTTATTCTTTAATTCATATTGCTTCCCATACATATATATTTCATGCACGAATAATGTAATATCTGATTCAGAGTCTATATATACTGGAATAATTTGGATCCGTCTCAAATTTTCTTGCTCAGCATCACCCCTTTTTTTTTTTTTTTTTTGCAATTATCTCGACCACTCCTAGCTAGAGCACAGGTGCCAGTACCGCTACGTCCGCAAAATACATATGCGATAAAATGGAGTGTTGGGGTCGTGGGCGGCAGACTACGGTGGCTAGTGTGGGAGAGGCAACTGGAAGATTTTCATCAGCCATGCCTGGATCGCAACTCTTTTGAGTAATCACATCAACATGGCTAGATCTAAGGGAGAGCAGAAATATTGACTTGTAACAGTCCCCACCCACTACGAGCCAATGTCGACAACAATTGAGGGAGGCGCTGCAACCTATCTGAGCTCAACCACTGCGTCTGTGCTGTCTTCCTTCTCCACCGGGGCACAACATGGTGAAACATCAAGACAAAAGTGAAGGCTCCCAAAAAGAGGAAGAAACTCTTACAAGGGAGAGGAAGTCCGTGGAAGAATCCCAACTTGTTATTCGTTCTCCTTAACCCCTGACAAGGGGATGGAAGAGGTAGAACCGTAGAAGTCAGGGGAACGTGATAGGGACGGAGTCAGAATTTTAAGTTAGGGGAATAGAATTTTAAAATCTTTTGTGAGTCATTTAGGTTTCATTTGACATTATTTTGTATAAACCCTTTTCACAACAACTTTAATAAAAATGTAGATTTGTTATAAGTAGTAATTAATATTTTATATTTGGCCAAAAAAATTTATATTTTATATACTTTTACTAATTTTGATTAATATTTTATATATTTTTAAGATATTAAAAGACAAAAACTTAAACCTACATCACAACATTGATAAACAAGTCCTTAACAATTTATATGAGAATTATTTATATTGATTTTTAAATCAATTACTATTTTTCTATATGTTCTACTTATATCATTCACAATAAATTTTATATTAACTAGATGTATTTAACTATTTTTGAATAACATGAAATGTAAGAATGTTAAACAAATAATATAAAAATATAATTTTATTGGGTAAGGTTATATATATCAAATCAACTTTGGTTTAATAGAATATAAATCTTATTAAAAAATTATATATAACTAATGTAAAAACTTATATAAGTTTATCTTAATATAACTAAATCTTAATTATTTTCTATATATTTGTTCTTATTAAATAAAATTATCATTTTCTTATAAAAATTAGTCACAAAGAGAAAAACGATTCCTTTACCTAGGTCTTAAATTTTTTTTATATTTGAATGGTCCCTATAATTTATATTAACTTCAAATATAAAATTTTGTAAAAATAAAAATTGATGTACCATGTTTAACATTTTTCAAAAGCCTCCCCCTCCCCTTGTCCTATACTAGCTCCGCGCCTGGAAGGTGCACAAGAAAAAGTGAGAGGAGTCAAGAGAAAAGGGGTACCATCAAGAGTTTTAACTTTGGCCAACAGGCAAAATGGGCAAAAAAACCTATACTTTTTGAGCTTTGACAACAAAGTCTCCAAATTTAAGTTTGATGCAGATAAGCCCATGTACTCATCAGGTTGTGACCGATGGTCCTTTTTTAACAGTTCAGCTTTAATTGAAAACTAGGTTTCAAAGCCGTGCTATGTACGAAATACGAATAGTTTGCCTTTAATATGTTTTTTTCAATAATTATTAAAATATAAAAATATCAATTTTTAAATATGATGGAGTAGTACATTAAGGTACAGTTTTTATGGAGTTTATAAAACCCCAGTTAAATCTACAACAGTAAAAAACTTCAGTCTATACACATTTAATAATATAAATTTGTCTATGGATCAATGATGCAATGATAGTTCTTTAATCCCAATTTCACAATTGTTTTTGATAATAATGGTACCTAACAAGAATCTGGGGTATACATTTGGAAAAAAGAGATGAGAGGGCTATGCTGTTTTATGGTCCATCATGTAAAAATAAAAAATAGAGCCATATTTGAGCAGTCCATCCTGCGCCGGCACCGAAAAACTAAACTCTCCTTTGAAAAAAACTCACCTCTCACGTAAATGTTTCAGTCATAGAATCAGGAATAAACCAAAAGGAGGAAAACAGACAAATCCGAAGAAAATGTAAGAGAAAAATTCATTCTCTCTCCTCCTTCTTCGTCACAGAGAAAGTTCCGATTGTGTTTCTATTCTTGTGAGCGAATCTCTCACTGATTGTGTTTCTATTCTTGTGAGCAAATCTCTCGATCTCCACATTCTTCTCTGGTGCACACTCTTCCCCAAATACCTGACAACCGCCCCGTCATTTGAGTTGATGTGAGATTTCGAGGACAGTCCTTTCAATCTTTGCGATTTCTGTTCTTTCAATTTCATGTTTTCTGATTCTTCAAAGCATAGAGGGAATTCTTGCCCTTTATTGTTCTTGGAAATGATTTCGTTGCTTCTTGTGTTAATCTTGAGGTTCCGTATTCTTTTGTGGTTGTTCAGGGTTTTGGAAGTGTTTTTGGGAGGTACCCGTGGCGAATTGTTGCTGTGAGGGATACTTGGTTGGTTAATTTCTTCTTTCTGATACAAAATTAGGGCTTGCAATGTTTTGTTTTTGATTATGGAAATTCATTTGTTGTGAGTTTGGACTTTTAACGAGTTAAATTTTGCTTTTCTTTTTAACCGTTTTGCAGGAATCTCTGGATTTTTTTTTTTCATTCAGCAAGTGATCTGGAATTAAATTAGAGAAAATTTTGTGGTGTGTTTGTTCGTTTGTAAAAGTATGAGTCAGGGTTAAGATTCTGTAGAATTGTGTAGTTATGATGTTCCCAATCGTATTCAGTGTGAAAATGAGTTGGTATTTTTTTGGTATTTTTTGGGAGTTTGAAGAATAATTGAAGAATTAGAAGGAAAAAAGAAGAGAGAATAATTTGAGGCCCTCGCTCTAGACATTGGATGGGTAATAAGCTGGGGAGAAGAAGACAAGTGGTGGATGAGAGATATACAAGGCCGCAAGGGTTGTATTTTCATAAAGATGTGGATATTAAGAAGCTTAGAAAGCTAATACTTGAATCAAAGCTTGCTCCATGCTATCCTGGTGATGAAGAATGCCATTGTGATCTTGAAGAGTGCCCAATTTGCTTTTTGGTTCGTATTTCTCCGTGGTATCTTATGTTTTTCTTGTTCAGCTATGAAATTCCAGTAATATTGTTTTTAGAATGTCTTTAGTTTGTTGTTACTGTTTTGTCTCTTTGGAGAGTGAGTGGTCAATATATTTTTCATTTGTGGTTGTTGGCTTTCAATTAAATGTTATCCAAATTTTTAATTTGTTATGGTGGACTGTAATTTTTATTTTTACTATTTACCACATCTGCTCATTTTTCTTTTCTGTCCTTGTTTTAGTGTTATCCTAGTCTCAACAGATCAATGTGTTGCATGAAAGGCATTTGTACGGGTAAATTTTTGGTGAATTCTCTGATAAACATTTATGGATATTACTTGTGGCATGGAATTTGACTTTTCTTCTTGTACCAGAGTGTTTTTTGCAGATGAAGAATCCAAATTCCACCCATCCTACACAGTATCCTTCTTTTTTAATTCTGATTTTAATGCAATAAAACTGTAAAATTCCAATTTGATGAACTTCTGATGTGCTTATTCTTCAATTCTGATTTCTAGTATTTTTATTTCTTAACAATGTGAGATGTCCTTTCTGTAAAACTGCAAATTATGCTGTAGAGTATCGAGGCATAAAAACAAAGGAAGAAAGGGGCATGGATCAAATTGTAAGATTAACTTCCTCTCTCCTCTCTCTCAGAAAATTGTCCAAGTCCTTGTTGCTGACAAAATGAAAAATGAATATAATTTCTAATTCTTCTTCTTCTTCTTTTTTTTTTTTTACCAAATTCTGCAGGAAGAACAACGTGTAATAGAGGCCAAAATTAGAATGAGACAACAAGAACTTCAGGATGAAGAAGAGAGAATGCACAGAAGACTAGAATTGAGTTCTTCAAGAATTCCTGTTGCACTGGGGGAGGTTCCATACAGCTCAGCAGCCGGTATGATACTTATAGTCTGTCTTATTCTTTATTTTCCCTTTTAGCAGTCTATTGAATTTATTTTTCTCATTTTTGTTGGTTGCAGCTCAATGCTCTGGGGGACCTGTTGAATATGAAGAGGAAGTTTCTTCTCACAATTCACGAGCTGCCTCAATGATAAGACAGCGATCAAGCCCTAGAGCAAACAGGTATTCTATCTGTTGGGTCTTTTCTGTCCTATACCAGTGGTATTTCCTGGATAGAATTAACTTTTGGTATGTTAGGAGAATAAACATGCAACAAAGTCTAGCTGTTTTAAGTGCCTATTTATTTCTTTTGTATCTCAGATTCATCATGCCCTAACAACCATGGCAAGTTGGAGATTTTGCATCTTATTACTTGCATTTAATGTTGTGTGTCATTGAGACTGATGCATGCATATTAAGGTGCACTTTTATTTTCTTTATTTTTGGGAATCTATAAAATGAATTTTTTCTTTCTACTGCTCCAAACACCACTGCATATCTATTTAACCAAAATATGTTTGAGCTGTCATCATCAACTTTCCAAATTTGTATTTGATTATGTGTGGTTAATTTTGCTTTCCTGAAGGAAACTGCTTTCACCATATTACTGTAATTTGTATCAAATGACTGAATTGTAGGGATGATGAGTTTGATTTGGATCTTGAGGACATTATGGTCATGGAAGCAATCTGGCTTTCCATTCAGGTGATTATGCTAAATTTGATGAACTATGATTAATGTCTGAAACTAATCACAGAATGTAGGCGATGCATTGTTGTAATAAAAGTCCCTGCATGTAAGTTGCAGTAAAGTGGTACTTTTTAAAGTTATTTTTAATTTAAAGCTGTGACTCAGTTGGGACACGGGAAAAAGAATTGGTAGGAATTTGATTCTTTGCATGCTAAGCTATTTCATGTGGTTTATACAAGATTGCTGTAGTGCTGTATCAGATTTTGAATGGTTATGAGAAATTGCAATCAAGCAATGCAAGCAAATAATTCTTATTTTTATGCATATTGATATTTTGTTGTCAGCAAGCATTGGTTAATATTTCTGCATCTCTCTATCGTATAAGGAGCTGAGTGTTATTGTTCCCTTTTAAAGAAGGTTGAAAACTTCAATACATTATTTGTGTCAAGTTATGCTAAGATAACAGACATAACAATTGATACATGGAAAGGTCGGTTTATACCATCCTTTTGGCAGAAATACTGTCTTTGTAGCTTTTCTATTTTTGGTAAATAATACCGTTTGTGTAGCTAGTATGTGCTTTTCTATGCCTTAGTTTGCTCTATGAACTCTATATATACGCAATTAGTTGTGCTTCTTTATATAATGCTTTTTTTAGCATTCTTATCTTTTCATCATGGTTGTTCACCAAGGTCTATGCCAATGCTATTGGAAGTCCTAGCTGAAATCAGAAAAGCCTCTTCATCGATTTTAGTTAAGTCAGAGTTGAGAGACATAGTAGCGTGCCTGCTTTCTTTTTGGTTCATTGATTCATTATTCAACTTATTGTTTTTCTCCCTCAAAAATCAAGTTCTTGTTGCCATCATGTTATCATTGACGGCAAAAGAAGTCCATGGTAATTTGCAGATGAAGTTGTCTACATTTATTTTTTCCAGGCAGATAGGATAGCACTATAAAAATCTAGCTAATATTTGTTTCATTATGAACTAATGAACCTTTTCTGGTATTTTATAGTTCATTATGTTAGTTTATGAAAATAACTATTTATAAAAATTTCTTAATGATCCTTTCTTAGCCCTTGATTTTGTCTGTTTCTTTCTGAATCCCTTCTGTTAATTCTCTGTTGTGTTTCTAGCTTAGCAGATGATATTTTTCAGATGATGTACTGCCTTCTGCCCCCTCGAAATTTGTTAGGATTTTCTGTTGCTTTGTTATGTGTGCCTTCATTTTGTTATCTTTTTGTTTCCTTTGCTGTTTCCTTTATATAATTGAATGCATTTTTATTAGAGGTCCTTTGATTAAGATTCATGTCAATCTTTTTATTTTTTATTTTATTTTTTTGGTTTGGTTCTTGCTAAATATTATAAAATCTTTCTTATTTATGTTTTATGAATAATTTTATACTTCATCGGGCATTAATTTTATTTTATTTTTTTTTAAACAAAAATCTTATGCTTTATGGTCAAATTTTTGTGCACTCCAAATAGTTCTGACTTGGAGAATTTTGGAGGATGTTTCTGATAAATGAATTCTTTGTATAGATGTGAAATTCCAATGGTTTGAGAGTGAAACCTTCCTAGGAAGGTCTTACTTCTTCAAACCTTAGGATGGGTGAGGAAGATGTTGTGAAGGGCTACACCTTGGTATATAGTCCGCAATTAAACTGACAAATGAGAGTAATTTTATTTTAGATTGGTCATATTAATTCTTATACAACACAATTTTTCATTCTCATCCTTAATGTGAGGCCTGCTTCGCTCAAAATCACTGTAAACTTACTGTAAATGGTCATATCATGAGCCATTTATTTATTTTTTTTTGGGGGGGTTGTGGGGCGCAAAATACTGCAGAAAATTCGCATGGAATAAGTGGTATTGTAAAATCTGTGGGCAAGTGCTTGTGATATGCACTTCTTTATGGCTTTTATTTGGGTTTTCTGTTAATTAGTTCACTGGTTTTTATTCTTTGAATTACATTAAATACAGGATAACAGCAGACAGAGAAATCCAGCTTATAGAGATGCTACTTCTTCTGAAGAGTTTGTTGCTGACAGCTGCTATGTTTTTCCAGTCATGGCCCCAATGGCTAGTTCATCTTCCCCTTCTGGTGGTCTTGCCTGTGCAATAGCTGCCCTTGCTGAACGTCAGCAAATGGGCAGGGAAACTTCTTTTAATAACCCTAACGGAAATGTGTCAGCCTTCACTATACTTCCTGTCAGCAGTAGGTTTTACAACAGGGTGGCACCAGAAGCAGAGAACTATCATCCAGCAGGGAGCTCAATTGACATGCCAGCCGATTGTAGTATTGCACCAGCAAGGGATGAAGGTGAATGGGGTGTAGATCCTGCATCAGACGTTGCTGAAGCAGGGACAAGCTATGCAAGCTCGGATGTGACAGAAGGTTCTGGTGAAATTTCTGTGGTGCCACAACCAGCTGAAATTGGGGGCCCTATTCAAAATATCCCTGGAATCGTGCCAGAGAGTTTTGAGGAGCAGATGATGCTGGCAATGGCCGTATCTCTTGCTGAAGCTCAAGTTGTGACTAGTGGGCCAGGCGTTCCATGGCAATAGATTTATGGCATAGCTACAAATGGTTGTTTTTCTCAAACAAATGTCAATGGCCACTGGGTAGTCAGCCAACCGGGCTTTGACAAATCGTCAAATAGATGCACGCCAACTATATAAAGGTGATGGTAATGATGATCACTTTTCCACACACTCTAATTCCATATAGAGATATTAAACATAGCAGATTATTTGAAGGAATGAAATGTTGTTTGGTTATGTGGTATTCATAATGAGTCAGATCCCAAGCCTAAACTATCTTGCACCATCTGTTTCTGAGTTCCATTCTTTCATTTTTAGCATTCTGCAGTTCAACATGCCACATGTTTCAAGTTAAAATGAACCCATAAGAAAGAAAAATGAAATTGCCGGTGATATGCGTGAGTACTGGAAACTGACAGTTAATTGGTGTCGTATCTTTGGTTTTGAGGAGAGCGGAGAGGAAATAAATCTTTTATTTAGTTATTAACAAACCTGGTGGAAAGAGAAGCGAAGTTATTTATTTTATTTTATTTTCTTCGCCTATCGAAGGAGGGGAGGGCCTTTGTTTCTCTAAACGAAATACACTATTATTATGACATTTTTTGGAAAGTGGCTGTGTCCTGCAAGGTGTAGATTTGGTGGTGGAACTACATTGTTGAATGGTTGGGTGTAAGCTCTACGATACGCTATAAAAATCTAAAAAATAAAAATTTCCACGTTAAGATTTTAGAAAAAAAAATTATTAAAAGACCTACCCTTTTTCGTTTTTCGAAGAACATAAAAAATTAAAACTCAAGTTTAGCGAGATAAAAGAACCTAAGAACCAAAAATGTTAAAACTCAACTTTGTTCAAATAAAAAACTCTACCATTAATCGATTCACCACGAACTTGTGAGTTTGAGTTTCCTTATGAATTTCTCTTGATTTCATATACTCTCTCTCTCTCTATATATATATGTTATGTGCATTTATATACTATTTTACGTCTATTCTTTTTTTATAAAAGGATGGTGAGAAAAGTCTCAAATCTTACAAACGATGCTTTGCATTACTTTCAGTCACGTGCATTCACACGTTTTAAACAGATCGAACAACAGAACAACACACGGAACAGTTAGGCAAACTCGTCCGTCAACGTCACAGTGACGTGATTTGGGCTGGAGATGAAAGTGGATGCAGTGAGGAGCATTTTAAATTTCCACTTGGTGAAATCTGAGGAAGCCACGTCGGAAAAGGGATAGCATGAAGTAACGGGGAATGGTGATGTGGCTGATTTGTTAGTAGGATATTTTTCGTAAACTACAAACCGAATGGAGATATAGAGATGCAACTCAGGTTCTTCGGCGCCGTCCACTTGTAAGGATTTCATTGAATGTTGGCAATATGATTACTAAAAATTTTTAACCATTACTTATTTAGAGACAAGACAAATAAACCTTTTCCATAAAAGCAAGGTATTTATATTTTTACAATTTATTCTACATGAATTATTTATTTTTCTTATAATCATTAATCAGGCAGGGCTCATTATAATATTAAAAGGCCTGCTGCTTATAATGTCTGCAAATCACTTTTCTAAAGTGAAGAAGCATTAGGGATAAAATGGGCACAAATTCAGGAGGGTAGTCCATTTTGTAATTGAGGAGTGCTAGGAGCACTTGCTCCAGCACTCTCCCTTCAGCAACCGCTCATCTATTTATCAACGTAACTCAATTTTTTAGACTGAAAATCGAAAACCGGTTACAAAACTTTGACAATCAACAATATTGTAGATCCCACGTATTAAATGACACGTACCGTAATTGATTTTATTTAAAAAAAATATCTTCTATCTTAATCCTTTACTCACTTTCTTCCTCTTTTTTTTTTTTTTTTGGTAATATCTTTACTCTCTTTCTTCGAGTGATCATTCTACTGCTAACCGCTAAAATATATATCCAAATTCATTCTTAAAATATAATGATAGAAAAAGATTTATTTTTAAATAAAAAATAAAAATAAATTTATTTATAAAATTTTTAATTTAGATATATAATTTTAAATTTAATATGTGACATCATCTAATATTAGTAATTCATTAATTTATTATATTGTTAATAATAAATTATTGACATTAGACGACATCAAATTAACAAATTATTAATATCAGATAACATCACATATTAAATTTATGATAATTTATTTAAATTAAAAATTTTATTAATAAATTTATCTTTATTTTTTATTTGAGATTAATTCATTCCTACTATTATACTTTAAGAGTGAATTTGGGTGTTCTGCGCTGGTAATCGGCTACGAACTTTTAATTCTTTCTTCCCTTGAACTGTCCAAAGTGATGAAATTTGTAAGATCAAAAAGAGCCTTCGTTGGGTGAACATCAGTGGAAAACGAGGAAAATAGGAAGCGATATTATGAAAGTTTCGTAATTTCCAAACAAATAATTATAAAAAAAAAATAAGAGGAATTGTAAAGTGCTTCCCTATTTCTGATAAGATTCTACGAAGAACTAGAAGAAAGAGGAGAGGTGTTTAGTTGTGATTGGAGGAAAATTAAACTAAAATAACCTAATGCTCGATAGTTATCTTATTAAGTAAATATAATTTTTTATGATAAGAATAAAAAGTATAATAATTATTTAATATTGTTAAAGAGATAAAATAAAATTAACATTAATTAGATAATTATTAATTAAATATTGTAATAAAAAATTATTGTAAAAATAATAAATTTATCAATAAAATTAAAAAAAATTAATTTATTAGTAATTTAATAAAAAAAATTACTTAAAGTATTTTTTTCAATTAATAATAGTTTAGATTCTAATTACCATCTATTACTCTCAAATCATAAATAAAATTTTTTATTAAATACTTAGTTTCTAGTCATTTTAAAATAAATAAATTTATTAAACATCTATTTTATAATAATTTTAAAAAACTACTAACGGCTAAACAGATCCTAAATTCTATATTTTTTACTAAATAATATTTTTTATTTTTCATCACTACTACTATATTATAATAAAAATCAAAATTAAGATATCTTATTATTTTAAATATTAAAATTTCTTAAAAAGTTATTCAAATATACTCAGTAAATTCTCCTCAAGTGTTACCTCATTAAAAGCATTTAAATATGAAAAATAATTTAAAAATAATCTTTTTATATTTTTTTCAATATAATTTTATGTATTATTCAAATAATTAACTTTTATTTATTTATTTAAAACTTAGATAAAAAATAAAAATGTTTTAAATATGTTTTTAATAAATTTCTCTCTTCTCTCTCTACTTTTCTCAAACAAAAAAAAGAGTCAAGAGGAAAATTTTGACAAATATAAATTAATTATGATAATTGATAATTTTAATCTAGGTACATAATTAAAAAAAGACATTGTGAGATATTCATACTATGACACGAAACTTTATATCTGTCCTCCACTCATATTGTCTGTCTTATTTTTTATTTGGATTAACGCTACTAAAAATCCTTCAGCTTTATAAAAAGAGTCATTGTCTTCCTTCTACTTTAAAGTAAGTCATAATTATCCTTGACCTCTGGAGAAAGAGCCAACCATCACCCCTTTATCAACTTAAGATTATAACACCGTCAATACATCCGTTAAAGTCCTTCGCATTTTAATGGTAAAATGACATTGCTGGTCACTCATCTTTTTGTTCCTTTGCAGTTTGATCCTTAAACTTCATTTCTATTTAATTTGGTCATTGATTTTAACCTTTTTTTATTACAATTTAGTCATAAACTTTTCAAAGAATTTTCCTTAAATCCCAAGATTTCTAATTTCATACATTCCATTCTTTTTTATACAAATAATAAAAATCATGTAAAATCTAATAAAATCACTTTCAACTCATCCAAAATGTTAATAAAATAAAGGTTAAAAGACTACACTAAAATGTATAAAATTCATTTATTCAAAGTGAAAAATCACATTTCTAATGTATAATTTGAGATCCTTAAAAATAAAGAAAAGATATATAGTGAGTTGCAGATACATAACTCACATAAAAAAAGTTCATACCATTATGATAAAAAAAAAGGATAAATAGAAGATGATTGTCTCGTTTTTCTTGTAATACACGCAAAACCATAAAAATATTACCCAAAGTTATCATTAGTCCATGATGTTCACACAATCATGTTTACATCACACCTATAAGTCATATTGACATCATTTACAGTTTTATCATATTGGTTGTAATATTTTGCAGGATTTCAAATTGGGTATCAAAGATATTTTTGGGATAAGTGGGTATAAAAAATTTAATTTTACACTTTAATGATATGAGTTTTATATATGAAAAAAGTATTATGCATTGTGAATTGTATCAAACTACATAACACTAACTATTGGATAAGGGTTGGACCACAATATCAATTGTCCTTGTTTCATAGTTTGATGTAGTTTAAATTGCAAAACTAGGTTCCCTTTATATATTTTAGTTTACTATTTCAAATTTAATCTTGTTAATATTTGAACAAGTTGAATACTTGAATGTGATTTTATTAAAAGTTATAAAGTTTTTTTTATTTGTGTAAAAAAGGATTAAAATGCAAATTTTGAGATTTAAGTGCATCCCATTCAAAATTTTAGGAACTATATTGTAATCTAAAAAGGTTAAATTAGGGACCAAATTGAGTAAATCTGAAGTTTAAGAATCAAAGTGCACAAAAATTGAAGTTTAGGGATAAGCTCTGTTATTTTACCATTAAAATTTGGAGACTTTTAACGGGAGCTTGGACGGCGTTTTGAGGAGGGATGATACTTGGCCCTTTCTCAAAAGTTGAGGGATGTTTATGACTTGTTTTAAAGTAAAAGGATGACAAAGACTACTTCCATAAAGTTGAGGGATTTTTAGTGGCATTAAGTTTTTTTATTTTGATTGATTCAATAATTGATCTACCTGCTTTCAAAGCCCTATCCCGTGCTTTGCAAAAAGTTGAAGTTGGAATGCAGACATTGCCATTATGAAAAGTAGGGCTGGGCATTTTTTAACCGAACCGATGGTTTACCTAAAAATCGAATCGAAAAAATGAATTTGGTTTAGTTTTAATGGTTTTTGGTTTTATTTTTTGGTTTGGATATTAACCGAATATATTTTGATTCGGTTTCGATTGAATCTCTTAAAAATCGAAAACCAAAAATAAAACCAAAATTAGGATAAAATAGATAAAATATATTAAAATATGATAAAATATAACAAAATATGATAAAATATATGATAAAATATAATTTATTATTAAAAAAATAATTAATTAATATTTATTTAACAAAAACCGAAATCGAACCAATTTCATTAATAAAAATTGATAACCGAATCGATTAGTTTATAACAATTTTGGTTCGATTTCGGTTCACAAAATTAAAACCAAATTTTTTTGGTTAATTCAAAATTGGTTTCAGTTTTAGACCGAAACCGGTTTTGCCCACCCCTAATGAAAAGTGGCTCTCCACTAAAATGACAAGTTATGTCAATACAATGTTTTCAAAACGGAACCGAAAGTCAAATCATTTGGGCCCTTATTTTTGTTTTTGAGTGGCTGCTTAAACGGTTTCCTAATCAATATACCTGCAGCAGACGGATCCTATTTTTGTGGTGAACATTAGTCTTCCTTTCATCAAGTCTCTGTTTTATAATATAATAATAAGCAACCATTCCACATTTTTTAGTCATTTTGCATTCTCATTTCACCGTAATTCGCTTAGCAAAGATCTACCAGGAAATATCCATCTCAAATCCCCTATTGGACTTTCTCATTGACTTGTCTACTGTAAGTTCTCTCGTCTCCGTACCACCCTCAACTCTTCTCCCACTTCTAATTTGTTTGTTAGATGGTACCTCTCTCCATTCTTGTTCATCATTTTTTTCTAATTAATATTAAATACCTTTACAATAATCCATGCTTAATTTCACCCTTTTGCAGATCTACTTGTTTCATTCTCTCTTAAATCATTGATGAAACTCTTACCGTCGGCCATATTGGCTGCATTTGTAGTTCATGGTATTTTCTTTTGTACTAATTAATGTTTAATCCATGCTTTTTCTACGTATCGTTATTAGACATAATTGAAGTAATCCATATATACTTATATCACTTTTGCAGATCTGCCAAAAGCCTATTCCATCCATTCTCTCTGAAGTTGCTGGGTATATAAATTGTTGGTGTTGACCATACTAGTTGCATGTTTGCTTTTGTTACAAATTTGTGCTCATCTTCTCTACACTTTTCCTTACAATTGATATATTCTTCTGTGATGTTAAATGCATCCTTTTTCTACTTACCACTGTTGAATATTAGTCAAAAATTTTAACTTCCCTTTTTCAGATCTGCTATTGTCGTACATCCTTTTATAAATTATTGAAGAACCCTTTTGTAGATCTGCCTATTAAATTTGTATTCATTTCTCCCTTATTGTTCTTGATATTTTCTTTTCTAATGTTCAATTTATGCATTTAATTTCTTCATAATTAATAACCATTATTGGAAATTTTTTGAAATTTTGTTCTAATAATCTATATATACTTACGTCGATCCCTTTTGCAGATCTATCTTCTTCATCATCATCTCTTCAATCATTGAAGAAACTATTGCCCTTGGCCATATTAGTCACATTTTTAACAAATCTGTGTTCATTTTTTTCTATCGCCATCGATAGTTGAAGAGGTCGTTTTATCCAGGTATATTTTATTTAATTTGATGATATTAAATGTGTGTATTGATGATTAATTATTGGGTGTTATTAGTTGCATCGGTATACATTACATTAATAAACTTTATTTAAATATACATTTCATAATTCATATATTGGATAGAAAATTGATAGATGTGGAATGTTTTTGAGTAGAATAATGTGTATAATATTAGATTAATGCTTGTTCATCTTATTTTTAAAAAATTAAAAAAAAATTGTTTTAAAATAATATTATTTTAATAAAGTATTACGTGAAAAAATAAAAAAAATATAATTCATACCTTAAAAAAATGATATTTTAGTTTTTCTCAATAAAATTTTATTAAAATAATATAATTTTAAAATTATTTTCTTAAAATTTTAAAGGTAAAGTGAATAATAGGCACTGTTCCCTTATAATATAACTAAATTCTAAACCCACACTTACACTGTTGGTTTTGTTT